TTTTTAAGACACAAGACGAGAAGACACAAAACCGCCTGAATAAGAAAACAGAAATGGATATATTTTTTAAGACACAAGACGAGAAGACACAAAACCGCCTGAATAAGAAAACAGAAATGGATACGGATGTAGATAAGAACGGAAAGAGCTAGAAAGAATTTGAGAAGATTGAAGAGATCGGAAGGCGAGGAAAGAAACTGTTAACGGCTTGTTTCAGTGGCAAAGAAGAGTCGGATTACCTTCAACCGATCCCAGTCCTTCATGATTAGGAAAGTGTCATAAATCCCATATCCCCATCCAATTCAAACAACAACCAAAAAATCATTTTAAGCCTATTATGACACGGCCCGTGACTTTCTTATCTTGAGACCCCTTTTCTTGTGTTGAGATCCCTCCTTGCCCTTTCGTTTCCAGGGTTCGCCCCGAATCGGTGTAACTCTTACCTGGCGCCTTCTTCTTTTGTTGAAGGCGACCCTGCCTGGCGTATTCATCGGCAAAACTGACGATGTTGTCGCTGTATCGACTTTTACGGTGCAGAGGCTTGTCATTGGTGAAATGCGCAGTACGTGAGATGCGTTTCTTCAGGACGGGGATGCGCCGGTACCTCCTCACGAGTGGTGCAGTTGGTGCTGATGGGGGTATGCTGGGGGTGTATCTGAAAATGGACCCCCCAAAAAATATACTTTCAAATCTTGTAACGAGGTAAGTGTTGGGTTGGCAACACTTGCGTCGGTCAACATAGGCGAGTCCTATTGGGTGGGTAACATTGGGTGATTCCTATTGGGTGGGTCAAAATTGATGGTTCATAGTGGGTGGATCATATTGGGTGGGTCACATTGGGTTGTTCACATTGGCTGGGACTAAGCAGTTGGGACAATATGTGTAGGACACGTGTGATGTCAGACTTTGTTTCGTTTTCTTTCATTTTGGAAATAAAAAATGTTCTCATGACGATATCATCCCTTTCACATTTTTTTCCGGAACTCTTAAATTTTATTATAAGACTGTAACTATTTTTTACGGACTCGATGGTATAGTTACGGAGTTAATGGGAGTCGCTTAGTCACTTCCTTGTTTGGTCACGTGATATGAGTAAGTCATCACTAGGCTGCAACACACAACAAAAGATACTTCATCAGTGCTTCCCCAATGTCATGTTTATTAAAAATTTTACCTTTCGTAATATTCTGGAATGCAAGCGTTTTTTAAATGAAATACATAAAAACGTCAGTTAGGATTAAAGGAAGAAAGTTATTTCAAGAAAAATTTGTGAGCGATATTCGATGGGAACTATCAATACTAATATCGGCAGGATGTTGTTGAGCTCCGTGCGTGCTCATGACGTCATTTGCGTTTTTATTCAATATTGATGCAGGAGTCATTCCCCTTTGTTTATTTTATTGTTAATTTTCATTGGACGAAATGTAGTGTAGTTGTAGTGTGTATCGGGCTACTGTTGTCAAGCACTAGTGTGTTGTATACAATATACCGGAAATCTTACTCGTTTTTACTCATATAACGTGACAAAATAATTGACTAAGCGACTCCCATTCCCCGACTCCTCGGTGCTATTATCTACACATGTGCACAAACAAATGAGAATACGAAGAGGCACTCATACCGCAGGTGAGCCAACGGATCAACTTGTCTAGGTGACACAGGTGACGGTGCCTCGTTCAGTTCGCTGGCCTCCACCTTGACAAGTTTCCCGCTTGGTTGACCATATTTTGGGCCCATGGCCAGGATTCAGTCCGGCCCAATTAGTTTATAGACACTTCCGTTCAGCTGAGATTTCAGAAGGAATACCCGCTAACATAAATTTCTGAGGTTGCAAAAAAAAATTAAAACTTTTTTTTTTAAAATTACCCCCTCCCTTAAATTTCTCTAGCAAATTAATTAAACAACATTCTGAATTTTTGTAGAGGGTGGGGGGGGGGGGTTGGTTACCCATCCAGCTACGCCAAATTAAAACTTCCTGATGATGAATGATGTACTTACTGTATTTGTAACCATCTATTAATTAATAACTAGAACATTGAAGTGATAGCACCTTCGTCTTTTTTAAATGTTTTCCTAAATTGCTTGTCTGCCAAAAGTAGGCTGGATGACGTATTCATTCCCTGCGCCAGAGAAGATTCCAGTTTTATTAGATTTGGGCACTCCCCCATCCCCACAATCTCGCAAAACTTTGCTAGATTTAATCTAATCCACTGTAGGAAGACAACGGGCCTTCGTCCGCAGATCCACACATTTGATTAGGCGGACGAGGGACACCGCTACCAAGGATCACCTGACTGATCAACAACAGCATTTGTCATTTTACACCACTAGCAATCGACCTTCCCAGGACTCGGACAAGTGCATTAATGTCCTTAATCCCAAAACCACTTTCCGGTCCTGTGAGGCAATCAGTCACAGTCTGTTGAGGTACTTTTAAGGTTAACGTCTCGGAAACAGGCCACGAAGTAGCTGGGCTAAAACGTTGTGCGTGGGAACCTTCACCCTCAGCCTCCTTCTTTAATTGCCTTGTCTATCTATTTAGTGCCTCCACATAGCCTGTCCTTTTATTGTCCTGTCTATCTATGTCATGCCTCAACATACCTTGTCCTTTTAATCTATCTCATACCTCCACATACCTTGTCCCTTTATTGCCCTGTCTATCTATCTCATACCTCCACATACCTTGTCCTTTTATTGTCCTGTCTATCTATGTCATGCCTCCACATACCTTGTCCTTTTATTGTCCTGTCTATCTATGTCATGCCTCCACATAACTTGTCCTTTTATTGTCGTGTCTATCTATGTCATGCCTCCACATAACTTGTCCTTTTATTGTCCTGTCTATCTCATGTCTCCACATATCTTGTCCCTTTATTGCCCTAACTATCTATCTCATACCTCCACATACCTTGTCCCTTTATTGTCCTGTCTATATATCTCATGCCTCCACATACCTTGTCCCTTTATTTCCCTTCTATCTCATGCCTCCACATACCTTGTCCCTTTATTGCCCTGTCTATCTCATGCCTCCACATACCTTGTCCCTTTATTGCCCTGTTTTATATCTCATGCCTCCACATACCTTGTCCCTTTATTGCCCTGTCTATCTCATGCCTCCACATACCTTGTCCCTTTATTGCCCTGTCTATCTCATGCCTCCACATACCTTGTCCCTTTATTGCCCTGTTTTATATCTCATGCCTCCACATACCTTGTCCCTTTATTGCCCTGTCTATCTCATGCCTCCACATACCTTGTCCCTTTATTACCCTGTCTATCTCATGCCTCCACATACCTTGTCCCTTTATTGCCCTGTCTATCTCATGCCTCCACATACCTTGTCCCTTTATTGCCCTGTCTATCTCATGCCTCCACATACCTTGTCCCTTTATTGCCCTGTCTTATATCCCATGCCTTCACATACCTTGTCCCTTTATTGCCCTGTCTATCTCATGCCTCCACATAACTTGTCCCTTTATTGCCCTGTCTTATATCTCATGCCTTCACATACCTTGTCCCTTTATTGCCCTGTCTATCTCATGCCTCCACATACCTTGTCCCTTTATTGCCCTGTCTTATATCTCATGCCTTCACATACCTTGTCCCTTTATTGCCCTGTCTATCTCATGCCTTTACATACCTTGTCCCTTTATTGCCCTGTTTTATATCTCATGCCTCCACATACCTTGTCCCTTTATTGCCCTGTCTATCTCATGTCTCCACATACCTTGTCCCTTTATTGCCCTGTCTATCTCATGCCTCCACATACCTTGTCCCTTTATTGCCCTGTCTATCTCATGCCTTCACATACCTTGTCCCTTTATTGCCCTGTTTTATATCTCATGCCACCACATAACTTGTCCTTTTATTGTCCTGTCTATCTCATGTCTCCACATACCTTGTCCCTTTATTGCCCTAACTATCTATCTCATACCTCCACATACCTTCTCCCTTTATTGTCCTGTCTATATATCTCATGCCTCCACATACCTTGTCCCTTTATTGCCCTGTCTTATATCTCATGCCTTCACATACCTTGTCCCTTTTATTGCCCTGTCTATCTCATGCCTCCACATACCTTGTCCCTTTATTGCCCTGTCTATCTCATGCCTCCACATAACTTGTCCCTTTATTGCCCTGTCTATCTCATGCCTCCACATACCTTGTCCCTTTAATGCCCTGACTATCTATCTCATACCTCCACGTACCTTGTCCCTTTATTGTCCTGCATTTCTATTTCATGCCTCTCATACCTTGTTTCCATTATTTCCTTAAGCGTATTTTACTCGTCTTCATTCTTTGGTTGAGATTGTTTCCTGCTCATTACAACCCTGTGACAACCCAATGAATTCTTGTGTTTCCCTCAATCTCTCTCAAAATGTTTTACGACATTCCATTATTGAGAATGTGGTTCTAAGGGTGAATAGCCGAATCCTAACACAAACTCATATCTCTCTTTTCTCCTAGTACGTGTATAACAAGCCGAATTTCGTTGTTAATCTGTGGAAATCCATCTTGACTTTACTTAACCTAGATACGAAAGAACTTTAATTGATGTTATGTTTAAGTAGCTTTTGTATTGTCATGTTGGTTTTTTTTCTTCAGAATTTGTTAGTGCCCGCCACGCAAGTAGCAAAACCCTGCAGGCGAGATGCATAATTCGGCTCATAGCTATTCAACTGTTGTAGGAACAAATACTAACACACACACACATACACACATAGAGAAATATTAGGAAACGAATCGATATGACGCGTCATAATATGACCAGTAGGAACCATTATATGTATATGGTGTGTCTTAATATCATATTCCCCGGGGTATTTAACGTCATTGCCCCTCAAAATCAAAAATTCCAAGGCCCCGTACCCTCCCAGCGCCGGCCCTGAGAGAGAGAGCTGTGAAGAGGCAGGTTCATTGACGCGGAGACGTGGGGCTGTATTGTCACTATTGTTTGTTTCGTTATATACCTTTAAAAAAAAAAAACGAAGAATATGTTTAAGAGCAGCATCTTTGTTTATTGAAATCGAGGCAAGACGACCACACGGTGTAGTACGAGAACTCAACGCTTTCTCTGTTATACTTAAACTACATCCTGGCAGTGAGTTCCTGTGAAGGCGGACGGACAAACACAACGTGGGGCATCAGCGGGGGCAAAACAGTGGCCGCCATTTTGACAATGATAGTTGGTACATGGGTCAAGTATAAATTCTGTGCAAAAGATGGTGATGAATAATAATTAGCAAAAGATATATTTTTTTGGAAATGAGTTAGTGAAGATGGCATTTATAATAAGCTTGTTTCTTTAAAGCCCTTACCTATCAACAGATATAAATAGCCCAAGTCTTGTGTTACCTATCATGCTTGTTGGGGCCTTGTTTTAATTTTTAACGCCATTGGAAGTGTATTCAGAGCTGTCTAACCTTCAGATGTAGGTTATTTAATCTTTATTTTTAACTTGTCCTAAACGTAAATAAGCCACGTTTTTGTCAAATTAATCTAAGTTGTGACCTTTTCTTATCAGGTTTAGCTATGTGTATCACATAAATTTGAACACATTAGAATGTCTCCAATGGGGCATCGATTGGCTTGTATTGGCCTGTACTGGCCTCCATTGACTAAAACATCAATTTGAATTATTAAATGTTCATTCTTTATGTCTCTGAATATGTGATGCATTAACTTTGAATTCATTTGTGTCATTATTTTTTTTATTATTATTATTTTGTCACTAAACATGTTTTGATAATTCTAATATGTAATTTACCAAAACTCTTCTCTTTTTGTGTTACGCCGTTTAAATAATTCTACTCTTTCCATTGGATAGTAATTCGAATGAGTCACGTGGATAAAGTATTCCCAAATCAGGACCTGGCCATTTGACAGGCGATAATGTCTCTTTAGATTCTAGAAGATCCGCGATTTTGAGGTCTTAAATTACTTACCTACAAATCGGCCTTTCAGCTGACAGTGTGTGCCAGTGAAACCATTTGGACACAGACAATAGGGAGCATCGGCTGGTGCAGTGCAGCTGCCTCCATTCTGACAATTGAAAGTTCCACAAGGATCCCAGATGACAGCTGCGAATTTCAATATGTTTAACTAATGGGATATTTTGGCCAAACGTCCGTGGTTTAAATTCAGCCTTTAAATTGACGAAATGTTTAATCATTTAAGCGTTGGATTTGAATTATGTTTCCTGAAGTATTTATGAAGATAAGAAAACACGATGTTTGCTTTCTTTCAGAAAGAAAGTCTTCGTCAACGGACAAACAAAAGAACCAATGAAAATGTAACGTACAGAAAAGATTAAAGGGGCGTTATAAACTTGACTGACTTCCCTCCCTTCTTGTTCCTGTGTTGGTATTTGCTCGCCTGAAACATCTAACAATAACACCGACTTGTTTTTTTTTAAAAAAAGCTCTACATTTATTAACTGTTGAGCTAACTTTAAATTATACACTTTACCCTTTTTAAACCTATTTTAAAGGACTCTCATTGTTGACTTCTATCATTCGACTTGCATGTTGTACTCACCACACGACGCAGTGGTCAAGATAACGACCAACAAAGAGACAACACGGGCGAGATGAACCATTGTTCTAATATGATCACAGACACGTCTATACCACAGTGCTTGGTGAGTCGAGTGAAGTCTTAATTACTTGTTAGTAAGGCTATTAACTGTGTTAAAGTAACTATGGTCAAAGTACTTTGTGAGAATAAGTCAGATGGTAACGGTATCTCAAGATTCCCTTTGTCTCAAGTTCCTAAACGTGCATCTATTTTAGTTGTATTCACTAAGGAAACCTGGCAATTTAGCGGTTTGCAATAGGCGTATACATAAATTCCAGTTTGGAGAATTAAAGGATTAGTTTTTTATTGAGTCACATGTATTAATATTTTCATAAAGTTACCATTGAAAGCTATATGGACACGCTTGGATGGCATTTTTATGGATTCAAAATTTCAAAAATAATAAGAAGAAGAAGTAATAATAGATTTAAAACAATTGTTTTTCCCGCAGAATATTTCAGTGATGGAATTCTTCATGAACTTTGATGACCATGAACGGTCTAATATTATAATTCCCTGCGCCAGAGAAGATTCATGTTGTACAATTTTTGCCCCCCCCCCCCTTTTCTCAATCTTTGAATCACGCAAAACAATGCCGAATGTAATTTAATCCACTGTGGGAAAACAACGGGCCTTCGAGAGAATTCTTCATGAACTTTGATGACCATGAACGGTCTAATATTATAATTCCCTGCCCCAGAGAAGATTCATGTTGTACAATTTTTTGCCCCCCCCCCCCCTTTTCTCAATCTTTGAATCACGCAAAACAATGCCGAATGTAATTTAATCCACTGTGGGAAAACAACGGGCCTTCGAGCTTAAGCGCATAATGCACCACCTGGCGTACCACCCCTACGTCCATCCTAACGTACCACCCCTAAGTCCATCCTAACGTACCACCCCTAAGCACTTTCTGGCGTACCACCGCTAAGTCCATCCTAACGTACCACCCCTAAGCCCATCCTAACGTACCACCCCTAAGTCCATCCTAACGTACCACCCCTAAGTCCATCCTAACGTACCACCCCTAAGCCTTTTCTGACGTACCACCCCTAAGCCCTTTCTGACGTAACGCCCCTAAGCCCCCCCTGGCGTATCTACTCTAAGCCCTTCCTAACGTGCCACCCCTAAGCGCTTCCTAGCGTACCACCTCTAAGCCAGGATAGTTCACACTTACGGACTGCGAAGCGGCACGCTAGAAACAGCCCGCCTCCGCGATAGCCATCCCCCCCCCATCCGCAGGTCCGGAATTTTATGAGGCAGATGGGTGACATAGCAACCACAGAGCACCTGACCATGGGTGACACAGCAACCACAGAGCACCTGACCATGGGTGACATAGCAACCACAGAGCACCTGACCATGGGTTACACAGCAACCACAGAGCACCTGACCATGGGTGACATAGCAACCACAGAGCACCTGACCATGGGTGACATAGCAACCACAGAGCACCTGACCATGGGTGACACAGCAACCACAGAGCACCTGACCATGGGTGACATAGCAACCACAGAGCACCTGACCATGGGTGACACAGCAACCACAGAGCACCTGACCATGGGTGACACAGCAACCACAGAGCACCTGACCATGGGTGACACAGCAACCACAGAGCACCTGACCATGGGTGACATAGCAACCACAGAGCACCTGATATGGGTGACACAGCAACCACAGAGCACCTGACCATGGGTGACATAGCAACCACAGAGCACCTGACCGGTCAACAGCGTTGCCCTTTTTACACCACTAGCAATCGAACTTCCCAAGACTGGGACAGACGCATTAATGTCCGCAATCCCCAGCCTCTTTCCTGTCCTGGAAGGCGATCGGTCGCCCTCTTTTGGGTACTTTTAAAGTTACCGCCTCGCTAACTGTCCACGAAGTAGGTGAGATGAAACGATTGCCTGGCAACCGTCGCCCTCATGTGCTGTGTCGTTGGCATCATTAGTAAGGGCTGCCACTACCCGCCGCATGCTTCATATCCATCAACGCCAGCTAGTAGTCACTATCCCCAACCCGTTTTTGCTTTAGTTATCCTACTGCAATCGATGTTGATACTGCTGTTGGCCCTGTATTTACAACAGCTGTTTAACTTCTACGGTAGATACCATGCATCACATTTGTCTGCCGACACAGATTTCGTGCATCGTGGTTGATGTACGCCAGGGTTGCGCTAGGTGAAAGTTGGCAGCGCCTTCAGCTTTTCCTACGCCACCCCCTTGAAGACGTTTCCTGCAATGGTGCGTTGACATTTTGGGTTTTCTATATGATATCCAGCAGCTCAGTGCCATGTTTCTAGTATATGATGTTCAATAGCTATTTGCCATGTTTCTATATGATCTCTAGATCTTAGTACCATGAATCTTGATAATTTCAACAAACATTGCGTTGATGTGGACAAGGCGTTGACTAGCTTTGAGTCACGAGATGTAGATAGCTCCGACTTACTAGAAGTACTGAAGGTCCTGAGAGAAATAATCCCAGGATTCGTAAAAACAGCATTACCGTCTACTACATTATTTCTAGCTCACTGGCAGATCCGTTTCCAAATGCTGCGATCTATTACAAAGTAATGTTAAAAGTGCCGTTAATCGTAGCAAGTCCAAAGCAATGTTAACAATGCCGGTAACGCAGTTATTGCGGAAAGAATTTGTTTTGTTTTTATTTAATTTGATTTTTTTTTAATTTACTTGAGATCATCAATGTCTCAGCTTCGAGTAAATGGGTTGTCGACATTATAAATTAAAGGAGACTTTGTTACCACCCTTGATTAAAAAGAACACATCCAAGTGTTTGCCACCAAGAAAGCAAGGAGCAGGATTGTTCGTTCAAAGCCACTCTGCACGTTTTTTTGTTAACATTTTTTTGGGGGTTGATCTTATTTTTATTTATTTTTTTTATGATTACAATCCTGTAGCATCACATTGAATTCTTTTGTTTCCCTCAATCTTTCTCACGAAGTGTTATGAAATTCCCGTCAGGGACGTCATTTGGGTGGGGCAGGGTGGGGCATTTGCCCTCTCCCCCCACCCCCGCCTGAATTTGCAGAGTGTATTTAAATTGATATGTACTGTGGCGCCTCCAGTAATTAACAACCTAACAAGCCGAACCAAGTTTTGCTTTTGACCCCCACCCCTTGAAAAAACCTGAAATGACACCCCCTGATTCCCGTAGTTGTGATTGTGGATCTAAGTGGAGAATTCCCGAATCCCAAGACAAGTTTATTTCTTTCCTAATTACTGTTACAACCATATCTAGCCGAATTTTTGTTACCGAACTTTAAATAGCTTTTCTGTTCATTTAGCTTTGTGTTCTTCAGAATCTGTTGTGACAGTCGCATTATTAGCAAAGCCCGAGTCTTATGGCAATTCAACTGGAAAAAAAAAAGGTGAATTGTGGAAACTAGGCGAGTAAGCAAATACCCAAAATGACGGTACCACTAAGACCTATGATGCATGACTATGGCGTGTCTTAATATCTTTTTGCCCGGGATATGTAACGTCAATGCCCTCACAATATTTAATTTGCCCAAGGCCCTGCACCCTCCTAGCGCCGGCCCTGAGAAAGAGTTGTGAAGAGGGGGATTCTTTGATGCGAAGGCGTGTATTTTTATTGGCAATATTGTTAGTTTAATTATGTACATTGAAAAAAAAAGAAGGAGACTATATTTAACGAAAGCATTGTTTATTGACATCAAGGCAAGACGTCCACGCGATCATCAAGTACGAGAACTTCAAGCTTTCTCGGTAACCCTCTAATTAAACTATTACATCCTGGCAGTGAGTTCCTGTGAAGGCGGATGGACACACACAATATGGGGCATCAGCGGGGGCAGTGCAGTGTCCGCCATTTTGACAATGAAAGTTGGTGCATGGGTCACGAATAAATTCTGTGGACAAGATTCTGAATTAGCGAGGAATGTTTCTTTTCGTTTGTTGGGAAATAAGGTGGTGAACATGACATTTATAATAAGCTTGTTTCAAAGACCGTATCGATCAATAGATCTAAATGGCCTATGTCTTGTGTTACCTATCAACAGATATAAAAAGCCTAAGTCAAGTGTTATCTATTATGCTGGTTGGGCCTTGCTTTAAATTTTAACGTGATGGGAATTGTATTCGTAGCTGTCTAACCTTGAGATATAGGTTATTTTTATCATCTTTTTAAAACTAGGACTAAACGTACATAAGCCATGTTTTTTGTTGTTGTTGTTGTTGTTGTTGTTTTGTCAAAGTTAATTCAAATGTGACCCTTTCTTATCAAATTTTGCCAAATGTACTGCAGAAATTTGAACACGTTAAAATGTACCAAAGTCCCTGATTCAAGCCAACGTATAGGAAATCAACAAATTTTATAGACAAAAAGAATATTTCAAATGGATTATCTCAAAATGGGTACTATTGTGACATAAGTGCTTTTAGCACTGAGGTCATCTATTGTCTTTTTCTGTATTGTATTTGCCTCTGGTGGCTTGTACTGACTTCTATTGTCTTGTATTGGCTTCTAGTGTCTTGTATTGGATTCTCTTGTCTTGTATTGGCTTCTATTCTCTTGTATTTGCTTCAATTGGCTTCTATTGTCTTTTATTTGCTTATATTGGCTTGTATTGGCTTCAATTGGCTTCTATTGTCTTTTATTGGCTTATATTGGATTGTATTGCCTTCAATTGGCTTCTATGGTTTTTACTGGCTTATATTCCTTTGTATTGGCTTCTACTGTCTTGTATTGGCTTCAATTGGCTTCTGTTGTCTTGTATTGGCTTCAGTTTGCTTCTATTCTCTTGTATTGGCTTCAGTTGCCTTCTATTTTTTTTTTATTGGCTTATATTGTCTTGCATTGGCTTGCATTGGCTTCAATTGCCTTCTATTGGCTTGTATTGGCTTGTATTGGCTTGTAGTGGCTTCAATTGTCTTCTATTGTCTTGTATTGGCTTCTATTTGCTTGTATTGGCTTCAATTGCCTTCTATTGACTTGTATTGGCTTCAATTGGCTTCTGTTTGCTTACACTGACTTCTGTTGTCTTGTATTGGATTGTGTTGGCTTCTACTGGCTTCTATTGCACACGTGGATCGATAAACCAATGCCAGATCCAAATAAATTCAAATGCAAATCAAAATCTTTGTAATGATGACTTAGGGACCACCCAAATACCATGCCACGCCAGTAGAGAGAGGAAAAGGGGGGGGGGGCAAAGTATCAATTCTTTTTGACTATGCGAGACGGGAAAAGGAAGGGTGGGAAAAATTGGTTAAGCAACATGACATCCCTTCAAATGCGTTTCTTAACTTACATTTTTTTTTAAACTTTCATTTGAATTGTAATAATTAAATTGCTTATTCAATTGACTAAAACATCAATTTTAACCATTAAATTTTCATTCTTTGTGTCTCTGAATATGTGACACGTTAACTTTGAATTAATTTGCGTTATTCCTTTTATTATTATTTTTGTCACTAAACATTTTCTATAATCCTAATAATTCTACCAAAACTCTTCTCTTTTTGTGTTATACCGCTTAAATAATTCTACTCTCTCCATTGGATAGTGTGGAAACGTATGAGTCAAAAGGATAACGTACGTATTGCCAAGACAGGACCTGGCCATTTGACATGTGATAATGTCTCTCTAGGTTCTAGAAGATCTCGTGATTTGGAGGTGTTAAATTACTTACCAACAAATTGGGCTTTTAGCTGACAGTGTGTGCCAGTGAAACCATTTGGACACAGACAATAGGGGGCATCGGCTGGTGCAGTGCAGCTGCCTCCATTCTGACAATTGAAATTTCCACAAGGATCCCAGATGACAGCTGCGAATTTCAATGTTTTTTACTAATGGAATTATTGGGAAAACATGCGAGGTTTAAATTCAGCTTTTAAATTGACGAAATGTTTAATTATTAGAGCGTTCGATTTGAATTATGTTTCCTGGAGTATTTCTGGAGATAAATAAAAACGATGTTTGCTTTCTTTCATAAGACAGTCTTCGTCGACGGACAAACAAAAGAACCAATGAAAAATATACGTAAAAGAAAAGATAAAAGGGACGTTATAAACATGACTGACTTCCCTCCCTTTCATTTCCTCGTCTGACACATCTAACAATAACACGACTTGTTTTTTTAAACAAAAGTCTCTTCACTTATTAAATGTTGAGCTAACTTTACACAATACATTTTACCCCTTTCAACCCTATTTTAAACGCCTCTCGTTGTTGACCTCTGTCATTCGACTGGCATGTTGTACTCACCACTAGACGCAGTGGTCAAGATAACGACCAACAAAGAGGCAACACAGGCGAGATGAGCCATCGTTCTAATATGGTCACAAACACGTCTATACCACAGAGATTGGTGAGTCGAGTGAAGTCTTAATTACTTGGTAGCAAGCCGATCAACTATGTTAATAACGTAACTATGTCAAAGTACGTTGTCTGTGAGAATAAGACAGATGGTACGGGTATCTCAAGATTCTTCGTGTCTCAAGTTCCAAAACGTTCGTCTATTTTAGTTGTATTCACTAAGGAATCCTGGCAATTTAGATGTTTGCAACAGGCGTATACATAAATGCCAGTTTGGAGAATTAAATAAAAGATGAGGTTGTTTTTTTTTATTTCAACTGAGTTAAATGTATTAGTATTTTTATAAATTATTAACTTACCATTGAAACCTATTTGCACAAGTGTAGACCCCAGGAGGAAGTTTTTAGAAATGCAAAATTACAAAATTAATAATATTAAGAAGTAATTTAAGTAATAAATGATTTAAAACAATTGTTCCCCTTCCACAGAAAAATGGTTCAGTGAAGGAGAATTCTACACAGTTTCTCTAAATCTATCTGACAAACTATTTACAGAAATGAAAATTACACAGAATTAGTAAACAAGAAAACATTTCTTTTATTTTTTCCTTTAAAAAATTTTTTTATTTCAAATATAGGCAAGGTTTGTATCTCTGTATTGTAAAAACATATTGACAAAAGACATGCAACAAAATATCACATCAGCGTAATAATTGTATCAAACATAGTTTAAGTGTAGGAGAGCGTGCACATATAATATAATGAGAAGGGGTAGGAGTGGTGCATCACTTTGTTTATGGGGGGGGGGGGGGG